GGTCACCCGTCCATCCACTAGTATCGCCTTACGTCGCTTAACTTCGGCGTTCTATGGGAATGGGAACCGGTGTTTCGACGTAGCTGTGCCGTTGCCTTCTAGCCAATATTCTACTATTACAAAAATTAAAGACCATTAAATACTGCGTATAATGAGTATTAATGCGTTCAATTCGGTGCACAAGTATGGCAGAAATCGAAAGATGAACTATTGTGATATTTATCTATTTCACTTCTAAAGGCATTAAAGTGCTATTCAAACGTTCGTCACACAGAAATAATCAATCTAAATAATAAACCATACAATAAAAGTTGCAGAGCACTGAGCAATTAGCATTTTACATCAAGTAATACATACCGAGAAAATAAATATTTTTTTTTGTGTTGTAACGTTTTTAGTTCGTTACATGTCTTTTTTATATATAATATATGATGTCTGGCCTATCATCACCGGATCTCGTTCAGGCCGGATAGTTTATTTGACGCGTAATTTTTACGTTCCCTAGTCGCCAACCCTGTTATCGTTCGACACAACCCTGTTATCGCTCTGAGGAGGCGCTGTCAACATCGCTTCAGTCAACTCTGTCCGTGCTTAACCTCACTTTGTTTTGACGCTCTGTTGTATCCCAGCTTTTAGAAATGGTGATTATTTAAATCTTGCTGTATAATTTGAATCAGCTGCTATTTCGAAGCTACAGATAAAGATGTGTTATTACCTTTTATAGATTCGATATTGTTATTGAATATCTTTAGGGTAGAGTTACGGATGTCCCAACTTGTATTTGTATTTTGCTGGTACGTGGGCGCCCCTTTTCATTTGTCCTCCAGAATGTCACATGGAAGAAAGGACAGGTTGTTTATTATTTATTGAGCCCTCGGAAGTGTTTCGAGGTAGGTTTATTTTGTTTATTAGACCTTGTTTGGTTTTAAACAAGAGTTTCATATTTTTAGGGTCCAAGGTACGGATATTGTCTTATGTACGGACATTATCTTATGTACGGATGTCCTGTGGACGAGTGTCCCCAGTAAGAATGATTTTTTCTTACATATAAGTGCCACAGCGTGGATGTAGCTTGACTCCCATGCTGCTTCGTTCCCAGCTATAAGCTAGTTAGTTACGGCTGTATCAAGTCATGGTGTCCTCATTCTGGCCCCTTTGGTTGTGTTGGATGGCTGAGTACAGAGATGCGAGACCACCTCACGCTGTTACTGTTTAAAGCAAGATTACATAAAGAACAGCTAAGTGTAGATTTAAGTTCTAGTTTTACATTTAACATTTAAAACATTTACAGTCTTAAACAATAACGTACATCTTAAATAATATCGTACAGACTATGTTTAGTGGTTAGATTGTTAAGAACATTCATGTCGATTTAATATTTAATATAATAATTAATACTAAATATAATTTAGATCTTAGGTTTCATTGCATTACATCTTGTAATGGTATTACTTTTATAGATATTATTATCGCACTATTTTAACAGATGAATAACCAAACATAGATTCTAGAATCTACAGGTTGCAACATCTTCGATTTAGCATCATATGGAATATATCAAATTAATTAAAGTAATGCTACATTTCATATATTCTCTTAAACATTACATGTCTTGTATTTTATCGTAGTTGTTTTCATTGATATTTAGTACGACTCTTACCACCACTTTCTTTGACATATAACCACTATATATTTATTAGAACTCTACAATATCATGTACCATCTAAGAACATCATGAATAAATATAGTCATTAGTTTTAAGTAATATACAACTGTGTTTTCTTTCTCTGTACATGCCTGGCGCCCAATATTTATAATTTCGAGTTATTATTGTTAATTAGTTTCTTTCAAGTGAAATACCTTATCCACGATTGCTCTACCAACGAAAAGCTGCCGTTCGCATGATAATGTTTTAAAAAACGTTACAGTGTTCCGTCGTCCAACAATTCTGCGTAGAATGAGTATCAATTCGTTCAATTCGGATCACTAGCATAGCTAAAACTGATGCTTAAAAATAGTTATTTTTACCAGTTTTACCACTTCCAAAGAAGATTTCTTATCCAACGACCGTAATAAAAAAACGTCTAGTTAGCATGCTCCATAAAAAGCTAGATGATGAAGGATTTATTGTAAAAGTAACAGAGGAAGATGCTGATATATGATTGCCAGACGATCACCAAGTCCAGACGTGGTTAGGACAGGCTAAAAATCCTCCCGAGTGGGGATGAAAAACAACAAAATACGGCTTACTATGAAGGAAGTAGCACCTCCAGAACTATACTTAATAGCGTGTCCTACAAGTGTTCTACGGAATGCCGAGGTTGCTGCAATTGTCAGAAACCATTAGGGGACCAGAAAGACATTCAGGCTCCCCAGAAACCAGTAAGAACATATGACATTCATGCCCAAATGCGCCCGATGATGATGACATCTCGCTTGTCCTCATTAATGACGCGCACTTGTTCAATGAAGATCTAGATCAGTCAGGTATATATTACATTTGCTTCATATGCTCTTGACGCAGTAAGGCCCAATTCGCGTTTTATGTTACAGATTAAGGAGAAGATGATATCACGATTCCTGTCAAAATGTCAAACAATAACAAGTCAGTTTTGAAAGAGATTCGTTAGCCAAATGTAAGCGACTATGGGCCCGCGACTTAAAAGCGTATTTGTAAGAATATGCCATGATTCCTTGAAAAAATGCCATTCGAAAAGCAACCTAAAAATTAAATTATTTTTGGTAAAACAACGCTGCGTAGAATGCAGACGCAAACTAGCTTGTGAGTTGCTTTTTACTCGTGAAATAATTTTACCGAACACAACATTTCGTTTGGCAAATTTATTTTACAAGTAAAAAGTTATTGACAAGCTAGTTTGCGTCTGGATTAGACGCAGAGAGGTATTTACAAAAAAACTTTTTATTTTTTATGTTTCTATTTCAATGAAGGATTTGTGATGATTGTGAAGTAAGAAGAATGCTTCGTATAATGTACGTATGTATTAGTTTAATTTAGAATATTACTTCTTAAGTAATTTCGTTGAGAGTTGGACGGAAAGCAAAAATTTGTTATGGTTTATTATTTACAATGATCATTTCCGTGTGACGAACGTTTGAATGTCACTTTAATGCGTTTATCAGCAAAATTGGTAAATATCACCATTCCTCATCTTTCGATTTCTGCCATACTACTGGAATTGAACGAATTAATACTCATTATGCACAGAATTTAATGGTCTTTAATTTTGTAATAGTAAAATATTGATTAGAACGCAACATTTCGGAATTATAGGTTACGAAATAGGTATCTGGAAAAAGTCAAAGAATTTTACCATCTTTGGGTCCTCCTAAGTCGAGCGGCTGTCTAGCAACCGTGCAAAACTAGGATACTTATCTTTCATGACAACTGAACAAATCAAGACCATAATTAGCTTTCCAACAATTTTTTCCAAGTGACCCCCAATAATAGACCTTATTTGACTGGCCTATAATGCGAAAATTACAACATAGCTTTACCCTTAAAAAACCCGTCGCAACTATATTGAACGGGAAAGCGGTAGTCATGGCCCTTTGTATCCATTAAGTGCTGTTAAGAAGGTGAGTTTTGATGATTTAAATAATAACTAACTGTTTATACATATATTTATTTTTGATTCCTAAAATATTTTGATTAAAAGAAAATTTGTCAAAGGGGGCAACGTTGTGCCGGCCAAGCTTAATCACACGACTAAAAGTTCAGTTGATATGAACTATAGGTATATTTGCTTGCTTCATCTATGTTACCGTAGATGGAGCTGAAGGCTTGGTAGGATTTATATAAATAATAAACAAAATACAAGAAGTAAAAAATTAATGCCTAAAAGGTATATTGATTGGGATGTTTAGACCACGCGGTAAAAATGAGACAAACGGTATAGAAAAAATCAGTTTATCTTCAATATCAAACATATTTTGTAGTGAATTTTTTCACTAATCGCTTTATAGCGCGGGGTTGTACAATTCTATGTTTTTTGACAATACCAAATTGGCAATCCATTGGCACGACAAAAGCCAAGTTGTTGTATTTGCTAAAGAGTTTTTCTGATATATTTTAATATATATATAATTATATTTTTTTTTCTTTTTTTTGCCGTTTTTGTTTTCTTTTTTTATGTTCTTTTTCAGTTCTTATTGTGTTAAACTGTTAGTAAAGTAGTAAATAGTGACCAAATGAAAATTATCTGATAGTTTTGTTGATATCCTTTTCCATAAATCTTATTTTGTTACCTAAAGAGAATAATAGTATTTTTGATAGTTCATTCGGTTTTACAAATAAAAACATTATAAGGGTCTTATTTTTCTGCTTTTAAAATTATTGAAACAAAAATATCTTTTATAGAAGAGATTTATAAGTCATATTTTCTAAATATACTCTCATTTCTTTATTCCATACACGAGGAAACATCATCAAGCGGCTTATTTCTTTTGACTCAATGCTGCTAACATATATATTTTAGTTGCTCTTTCAGTTGAGGGTGTTTGCATTCAAATTTAGTCTAATTCATTAATTCAAATTAATGTTTGTTGTATATATTCTAATTTAGTAATTTAACTAAATTTGATGTGCTTATAAATTTTCTATACATTTATAACAATATTATATAAAAATGCATGTATAGAATTTTATATCTACATCATTTTTTATAACAATTATATTTATAGAATTCCATATATCTTTTTCCAAATGGTCGAGGAATCTTTTACTTTGTTTTCAAATTTGATTATGAATAATTTAATTCTGGTTTTGTTGCTTTTTACACATGAAAAAGAAATATTTACAAAGAATTTTTCAATAAAGCATATGTAATAGTGAAAAACATATGACAATCTGTATTCCAAATTATGACCGTATTGAAAATTATAACTAATTAAAAAAAAAAGATAAAAAATTATAAACTAACTTTGTATCTTATTTTATTTTTTTATTTTTCGTATAAATCGTTTAATGTTATTTGTTTTATACTTAGTTATGACCACTACTGTTCTGAGCTTTGTAAGCTGCGCATACTATGAACTGCTTGCACTCCAGGTCCATGAGGGAACATAGGATTCATCATTACATTGCTATTACCAGTTGGAGGATATAATACTTCAGGATAGACATTACTTGCTTGAGCAGCAGCTCGCATTGGTTGATGGCCACCGGCCGAAAACCCTAAAATCAGAATATTTTGATTAGTTTCTTTAACAGAGGAGAGTGAACATCTGAAGTGGTTAAAATTAATATATTTCCTAATTTTTATAGTCCTAGTATTTTTTAACAGTGTTTAATAGACATATCTGAAAAAAAGTGTTCTTGAATTTAGAATAAATTAATTATTAATTAATTATTTAAAATAGTTTTTTCTTTGTTCTTTGGGTTTTTTGGCTTCCGACGACAGGAAGAGATATACTTCCAGAAACGTTAAGCATTTTTTGTCTGTTAGGCATTTGCCTAACTAAATCTTGTCTATTATTAAATCACTGCTGCCAAGTTGGTCTCCATTGGATTAACACAGCAGTGTTTACATTAAATAACTATTTTATTTTGTATATTTTCTTTCAGTAATGGCAAATAACCATAGAACTTCTTTGAAGAGATAAATCCGCTACAGAGGTAGATGAATTTTTTATAAATATGAATTATGAAATATATTTAAATTGACTTTAATGCCATTATTTGCAAATGTTTAATTAAGATTCTGAACACACTTATAGAATAGATTTTTTGAGACACTATATTTTCTTCGTACCTGTAGTAGGTACACTCCAATAAGTACCAATAAGCTCTTGTTCTTTATTTGATTTTAGTTTAGTAATCAATACAATTAATGACAATATTAAGGCTGCCTTAGCTAAAATGAGAGCTTTTATTGCCATTAGCTTGATTAATCCGAGAAAAATTGATGCAATCAAAGCCTGTCTTGTAAACCAAGTACCATAAGGAATGATGGTACCCTGTCCAATATCCGCTTCTTCTTTCGAAGCTAAAAATATACAAAAATGCATAGTATTGAGAAATTTAGTAATATAAATTTAATAGGTATTGTTTATTTATTAAAAAAAAATAGTGAAAATGAGTAGTTCTAAGAAAAAGTTTCTTCCAAATATGTTGTACCTAGATAACATTATATGAAATCATGATAATTCATTGGTTATGGTTTCTTTTTAAGAGTTTGAGATTAATTTTTGATTAATTAACCCATTCGAAAGCCAATGTTCAAGAAAATTGGAAGAAAGACATCTCTTGTTTTTGCTACTGTCTACTAGATGGAGTCGTATTACAATTTCTATTATAACGATATTTCAAGGACAACCAAAACACATGTTGATCATGAATTTTTGAGGTTAGCTTGCAGGAGTACATAATAGGGCTTAGTTAAACTGAAATTTCTACAAGGACGCTAATACTAAATTTTCATATCTAGATACCGTGCAGCGGATCATTAAAATTTAATATTTGGTTATCATTGTGTTGTAAAGGAGTATTCACATCTATACCACGAATAAGTGTAAACAGAATAAATATTGTGTTATTAAAATAAAAAAAAAAAAAATCTCTTTTTTTTTAATGTTCCAATAATGCAAAATGGCTACATGCTATTGCAATTGTACTTTTCATTTTCCAAACAACGCGAGCTAACGCACCAAATAAACAAATTTGCTAATTCAGACACTAAAACACGGTATTTATGAAATATACGCCACTTGCTCAGAATACCCCAATAGCCATCGATGATTCGATGGTGGGTGCCATACTATAGTCACCATAGCTGCAAGAAGAGAATTCAAGGGAAGCCTATTAGATAGGGTTTCAAATTTTGGTCACAGAATGTGTCAAATGGGTATCTAGTAAATACTGAACCATATCAAGGAAAAGGAACGGTGCTAGGAAATAACGATCTTGGACTAGGGGCATCTGTTGTAGGAACTTTCGCAGATAGACTGAAATAGAACTTTCCTGACCAAAATTCAATTTCTTTATTGACAACTTTTTCACTGGACTACCATTGAAACCAAAAGTTAAGCAACATGGATTTCGGATGCCCTGCACTATCAGACAAAATCGGTTGGGGAAATGCCCGCTGACTAAATCAAAAATGAAGAAGTTGCCCAGAGGTTCTATGGATGCATACGTAAATTCAACAAAGAATGTTTGTTTGATTTACATCCAACTAAATTAGCACGACGTTATTCTGCTGCAGAAAAAAAATATATTACCGTAGAAATGTCACATGCAATTCACCAGTACAACACTCATATGGGTGGTACGGATTTCTATCGTCCGGAACTGCAATAAATGGTGGTGGAAAGTTTTTATATACCTGTTATGTGCCTCGGTCTCCAATGCATGGATTTTATACAGAAATTCCGAAGATGCAAAGAAAAACAGCAACCTAGTACTGAGGAATTTGTAAGAAATTCCAAAACCCTTGACTTAAGGTGTGATTCCGAAGACGTTATTGTCGTTATTGTGTTGCGACTCCACTGATCTTTTAGAATCAAATGAAGTAACGCCAGAGTCAGACGAGCGGTGTCGCTCGACAGTTTTTATCCAACATGTCGTCTAAGCGACCGACGAAGCTACCGGTCCAGTACTGTCGTGTCGTCATTCATATGCACACGCAGATTTTTGACAAAATGGATTTTACCGGGGAGGAAGAAGACAAACTAATTAATTTAGTATGTAAATATCCTACTCTCTGTTTGTGACACTACTCGTAGTGTGGAGTCGCTGAATAAATGTTTTTTTATGAGTAGGGAATAACTTCCTTTCCTAGGTCTGTTTTTAAACAGAGGTAAAATGGGTTTTCTTCTTTTCTTTGCAACAAGTAACAATAATATTTCGTCCTCTTCATCATCTTCCATCAGTAATTCAAGTAACACATTTTTATCAATCACGTAATCAGACATATTTATTAATTATTATAACTACTTCGCGAACGTCATTTAAACACTGACAACTACATCGTGGATCTCGCTCATATTGTCGTCGACATCGACAATGATATGACGACAGCGACAAGCGACACTGTCGCCTGTCGCGGTCGCTTGTCGCTGTCGTCGTCTTCGGAATCATACCTTTATTAGGATTTATCAGATACTATGTGTCATCATATTTACTTCTAAGCCACCAAGAGAGCAAACAAGGAAGAGCCAGTTCAACTGTATATTATTTAGAAATGTTCCAGATGCTGTTTCTCGTAATTTGTCGGTTCTGCAAAAAAATACTACATTTGGTTGCGGCATATGTAATCTTAATATGCATCCGCTCGATTGTTTTAAACAGTTTCATGAACGTGTTTCTATGTAGTATGTAAAAATAAAGAATTAACAATAAATAATTGCTATTTTCCATTAATTTTGCATTCAGTGTTACCATTACTTAGATGTAGCAAAGTTCCAAATTTGGAATAGTTTTTCATTTGCTTGATGTTTTCTCAAATATCATTAGTGATTTTTTTTCAATATTTTTTCAAGGCTTAAGGAACTAAACTAAAGGCAGAAATGTTGCAAAAATTAATTTTTAAAGTTTGGCGTCGAATGGGTTAATTTAGATTTTATTCATTACTCTAATTTATAGAAATCGATATAATTTTAATAATCTCTATTCTTGATAAACTAAGCAGTAACCGAAATTAAAAGCAAAGATGGAAATCTTGATTGATTCAAAAGGACTACCTTAAAGTGTTAATTTATCTGAAGTCGTCTGGCAGAAATCTCTATTTTGTTTTAGTTAAAGTTCAATTTCCTTAAGTGCCTTTATAAACAGTGATAAAGAAGTAAAACGGTTCAAATATTAAGACTGGAGTAGTGGCGGAACAATTTATATTATACGCAGTAATTACCATTTTATTTTTACTACGTAAAATCAATCTTCAAAAGCTTTGTTAGTCACCTTCAAATTTTACCAGAGAACCAGATATAGATCTCCAAAAGGTGTCATATAATATTATATTTCCATAGCAACTGTTAAAACTGCTTTATATCTATCAAAAATAGTAGATAAAATAGTACTTTAAGGGCCAGGATAGATTAAATGATACTTTAACAGCAAGGATAAGTTAAAAATTTTATTTCTCCTCGTACGTTTTTTAACTGCTTCCATTTTTGAAAATTTTTGTATTCCTTTTCATAAGTTATTCGGGATTTAAATGGAAGTAATTTGGATATGGCGTTAGCCTGAATATCTGTTGGTAATTTACTTATTTCGTTTTGAATCATTTCTTACTCCAATTCAATCATCAATCGACACGAAAGAAAATTAAAAAATATTATTCAAAACTGACAACTAAAAAGACAGCTTTATTTATTTGTCAAATTACATAGAAACCAACTTCAACCCAGCACAATATTTTTTCTACTCGTAATAAATTCCTTGAAATAATAATTTCTGAATATTTTTTTAAACGTAACTCGCTACGGAAAAAAATATTGTTTTATACACGATGATAAAATTGCATTATCGTCTTCCGAAATTAATTCAATCCGCTATTTCAACGCTCGTGAATTAATCTTTTCGGTCGACGAAAATATACCATTTTATCGCCATGTATAAAAAATATCAATATAAACGTTCTGAACTGATTTCATCGAAGCCTATAATGAAATTCCATATCACATTAGACACCAAAATTAATTCTTTTTAACATTTGACAACTAATAACAAAAGCAAATATTAGTTATAAATATTGCAATTTATTTTGCAAAGAAATAGTAAATTTTAATATCAATTGTGCCATTTTAAACATTCTTTTTTTGGACCTAATCGACAGGCATATGAAGCAGTAGGTAATTATTTCTGTAATGTCAGTGAAATGTCAAATTATTATTGTTTGTCATCAATGATAGTTTTGAGTCTAGGAGTTATATCGGCTATTGTTGCTTCAATTGGACATAGTAGGATATTGTACATAGTACATAGTAACAAAACCTAGTACAAGACTTAAAACCGTCTCTACTAGAGTAACCGCCCACAAATAATAATGATAATAAAACTTTTCAATGACAGTTACAATAGTACCAAATAATGAACACTGTTTTAGAGGTGTGTTGATTAGGACCAAAAGCAAAAGCGTACTTTTAATGCTAAAATTGTTATTAATCGTTACTCTCTTATTGAAACGTGAATATCTCCAAAAAAAGGTATTCAAATGATTCAAAAATAACCTACTGAGAAAAGATGCACCTTGAAGAGTGGCTGTTTAATTCCCTACTTTGGCAACCCATTCCACAGGATGTTTCACACTTTCTCCAAAATCTATGTATTATTCTTTTTATAATATTTATATAATATTTACCTCGTATAATAGAGAGATAGTATTTATAAATTAATTTTTGATTTAAACAAAGTCATTTTAAAATCTATTTTAAAATAAATTAAAATTTTAAGGTATCCGTTTTTCACGTTGATCAGTATAATATTACTATCTGTAATCTTATTGATTATTACCCGCTTATAAACAAGTATAAAACCGTCACTAGCAACTAAAGTTTTATACTGTCAGTTTTTGTATTAAACACATACATATATAAACATTGGAATGCCAATTTAGACCATGTAATATAAATAGAACCAAATAAATTTACGATGAGACAGAAAACTAGCTATCGTTAGAAAATCATAACTATCTATCAAAAAACTTAGAACAATTTGAATTTTAACCGAAAAACAATTTTAGAAGTTGGAACATTGCAATCTAAAAAGTTTTCTAGTATGGTACAGAGATGGGAAAATCTTAACTTAATACTTTATCTGCAGTAGTCTGGATAATAACACTGCTTTTGGTATCAAAACGGCGGATGTTGTTGGCACAGACTTATAAAATGACGCGACTTTACAAAATTTTAATAAGTGTGGATATTACGTATTACGTATATTTCTCTATTGTAGTTTTTTTGCAGTGTTATT